GGGGGGGGGGGGGGGGGGGGGGGGGGGGGGGGGGGGGGGGGGGGGGGGGGGGGGGGGGGGGGGGGGGGGGGGGGGGGAGGTATATTGATGTGAATGCAGAGAGTAGTATATCCTAGTCTTCAGACCTTAGACCTTGCATCCCTGCGATGCCGGGACGGAGCAATATGCCGGGTTTTCGTCGCCGGATTTTCCCTTCATTCTCAGGAGGGCAAAAAAAGACCATAAATATCGGGTTCAAAACAACGCGATGGAGGGGGGGGGCTTCCGCAATTTTCGCCTCATCATGGACCGCCCGAAAATAACTGAAAACAATCGCCCTTGATCGACCAGAACGAGGTCTATAGAGGACCGATTTACGATCTGCTGGGTTGTGAGGAGGAATCAATGAGGGCACACCGGTTTGGTCGCGCTCCGACAATAGATGGCCGTGCTTACAAGCATTTGTCCCCCAAATCGTAGGACATATTGACCCCCCGGGAAGCTGTAGAGGTGTCCCACCCATGCATGCGCAATTGCTCGGTTCAAACCAGGAGAAACAGAGGAAGCACTCAGCTAAACACACAACACCGCTGGGAGGGGCAAGACAGCACTGGCGACGGCGGCAGCCATACACACAGCTCGTGGCAGATGTCATTACCATTGTTGTGGGTTCGGTGTGTGGGGAGGCATCATCGGTAAACCAAACCTGCGCCTTGGGCAAAAAAATCCAAACTGATCCCAGCAAACGCTTTTTTTTTTTCAGGCTATGTCAAACTCTCGCGCCCGCAATTTCTGAGCGTTCTACAGCCTCTTGGTCGGTGTTAATCACCACACAAGAAGGAGTTTGGACACAGATCGTGGCGGGCACTTTTGCTATTGCCTTTGCTTCGTTGTCTGGGGAGGGGTGACCTGGAAACAATCGTTTGCCACGGGAAAAAAACGAAACAGAAGAGCACTTCATTTTTTGTGCCAGGCACCACGGCATTTTTCTCGCATTCATGCACTACCGAATAAGATACATAGGAGCCATTGCCACTTCCGCAGCAGCAGCAGCAGCAGCAGCACTACAAGTGCATTCGTGTAAGCTACCACTGTTCATTTGTGTATGTCAGTTCTATGCATACTTAGGTGCCGATCGCTTGGCGGCATGTACTGCTGTAGCAGAGGCGAGCATGCGTGTGTGCTCCGCCGCCGTTGATACGTAACATTTTTAGATATCCAGTGGATAGCTATTATAGTACGGTATTTTAGTGAATCTTCCCATCTACGGGCTTTTACGCCTTCTCTTTGGTCAAGCGTTGGTTCGGGCGGTCGGTTCCTCTCCAGCGGCCTTGACACTCGACACACTTCCAGCGGGAGCACATGCACCAGTCTTTGAAGATCCGTTCGAAATACATTCCGCAAGTAATGAATTGCCGTTGCTGCGTTGCTGCCTGGAAGCAGCATGTCTCGCACCTTGCACAGCATCGCAAACACCCTACTGTCAGGTTATTGAATCATGCCCCGCGGCTGACTGTTACGAAGTACAAGTAGAGTAGCATTTTTTGCGGAGAATGTTGCTGATCGTTGAACACAGTATTGTAAACCACAATCGATACGACTCTTCCAAAGCCACCTGCTGAGATGAGGAGTGGCAAGTCCTACGACTATCCCACGCCTTCTCCCTTCTTGCCACTCTCTCTCTGCCGAGGCCTTTCTCCTTGCCAGATCTCCGGTAGTGGGTGACGACTATGTACTGTACCACGAGCTTGGTACATCAACCGTAACAAAACGGGACGGGACAGCTGTACAAGTTGCACTCTTTGGGTCACAATGCGATGGGAAATTGAACTCTGTGAATACATGTACTTGTGCGGACGTACGGCGACGGTCACGAAATCCTGCTGCCCTGCCTCTCTGCGAAAGATCAGTTCAGGAAAAAAAAAAGTTGCTCCTCTCGGCGGTTTGCTCTGCAAACAAACGCGTTCTAAAAATACGCGCCAAACTCAAGGAAGCTTACATTGGGTGCTCTCTGAACAATGCTCGTGGTAACGGTTTAGGGTTTGATTTACCACTCAGCAGCTACGGTTGCTACTGCACGTGCTTACATGGCGAATTTCATTCTGCTGTCAACGTCGGAGCTAAGAATCTTCTTGGGGTGACATCGCCAGCAGTGCAGCGAACAGCTAAGACTACACACACATGTTCATCAGTGTAGTTTTTCTTCATGGCACGAAGGTTTATTTCTGCTCTGGGACATAGGCGCTGCTGCTGTCGTCGCCGTCTGCATCACACGAAGAATCCCAACCCGGACCTGCTTGATAGAAAATACAGGAATCCAGCTTCCCGGACCATTTCTTCCAGATTCCCGATGTGTGTATGTGTGACATGCGAAAATGAGAAGAAGGTGCGTGACAAAAAAAATAGAACATAAAGCCCGGCAAACACGAGCGCGAATCTAAATCTTGTTCGCGCACCCGGCAGTGGCGATTGCGGAGAGTCATCTCCCCGGACTCGACAGCGCCTTGGGTCTCGCAAGAATCGGCAAAGAAGTATGCACGGCTACTGCCTAGCACCAGCAGCAGGGAACTTGTCTACACATTTAGCGCTAGCCTACCAGCTACATCCTACAACATTATATCCTCAACTGCTGAGTGCTGCGGTGGCACGGTTCTGAAGTTTTTCGGCAGTGGGCAATTTCTTCGGCTGCCTGTTGTTAGTTGTTGTTAGAGGTGCTCTCGCAGGAGGACTCACCCCGTTCTTTCGCATGACGTGAATGTTCCACCCCAGCATCACGCCAGCCACGCCAGCAAAGATGATCGTCCCAAGGACCATGATGCCTCGGTCGATGCTCCGTAGCAGCTTGGCACAGCCTCTACAGCAGCTTGTTTTATTTAGTATGAGAGAGCAACCAGCTGCCGATTCCAACGCACCCAGCACGCACGCTGCGAGACACAGAGCGTGACACGCACACAGCAGGGATGGCGCCTCTCTAGGTCAAGTCGCCGTCTGCCCGGGAGACAGCCTGAAGCGTGAAGCACTCTCTCCGCTCTCGAAGACGCCTTGCAGGAAAACTGTTCTTCGTGTGCAAACTTGAAAGAATAATACGGCGGGAGGCGGGAGTAAAAGGTGTACCTCCCCCAGGGGGGCATTAGTTCTGGAAAAGATAGCGTAGCAATTGGTGCCGGTTCGCGTGGCCAGCACATGTAACGATTCTGCACCCGCGAGAAGGAAATAATTTGATGAGATGAGATTGATGCCAACAATTACCGCTCTCTTGCGTTGCAATCTGGACTCATGCGCGCACCAGGATTCCTACAACGTTCTCGTTTCCGCCGAAAGCGATACACACGTCACAGGCGCCCTACATAGTACCATAGTTGCGCCGTGTACAATCGGCGTCACGCCGAGACATGCAACAACACCCAAGACAGGATCAGCGGCGGCGAGGCCCCGGACCGCCAGTAGCAACGAGTGGCGCCGCCAACAGCAGCAAGACGAACAACAACAACAACAACAACAACAACAACAACAACAACAACAACAGCAACAACGGTTCTATGACACCAACTCGCAAAACAAGGCGAGGGAAGCGTGGCGGCAGAGGAAGGTCCCACTCTCCGCGCCCCGGCGCACACGGGGGTGCAAATGAAGTCGGTGGGCGGGTCGCAGGTGTTGCCTACCATCCATCCGCTGGGGATTGGGTGCCAAAACACCAACGTGATGTACACGGCCTTCAGCAACGTCGTGCGTCATCACCACCGTCCTTCTTGATGTTTCAGCAGCAGCAAGACGAAATGGTGGAGGCTACGCCTCCCCCTGCGACCGTTCCTTCTGCCGCCGCTACCGCTGCTGCCGCCGCCGCTTCTGCAGCAGCAATCCCTGGTGCTGCTTGGGGTCACCAGGTTCGAAAATCAACGATGCTGTCTAAATGCTCAGAGTGCATGTTTCCATCACAGAGTCTAGTCTACCTGTATGGTCACGACGAGTTGGATCAAGGTAATAACTCACGGCGCCGCCCGGCATGTTGACTACATATAGTCTAGACTAGACTGTATGCACAGCAAAGTCTTCACAGGTTGTTAAACCCTAAAGTTTGTTGCGTCCCTGACTGGAACCGTACATATCCTCCCATACGCAGACGACTACAGGTGTACATCTCGTCACTCGTTTACCTGCTTACGGGTACCTGTTTTGCTCTTTTCTTCCGAGAAGCTTCGATTTGGAGTCAAAAGCAAGTGGTTCCTGCAAATGTATGCCGTTACGATTACGAGACGGACTCAGTGGTCTCATTTTTTTCGTGTAGCTGTTATTGATCGCTGGTCAACACGAACGGCACGCCACTTTGGATGCTAGTAGTCTAAAGCCTCTGCGGATCCCCTTCAAAAGGGTACCTGGCGCAATCTTCTCGATGTCTGTCGAGGGCAATTCCCGCTTTTCACGTTAGCGTCGACGAAGTGGGACGTGGTGGACGCTAACGACCGACGGTGGCGAGCTTTAGCAACCAAAACTAAGCTTCTAATGGTTTGGGTGCTTAACAGTGGTTCGCGGGTCCTAATCCCAGGCTGAATACGTTCAAAGTGGGCTTCCTTCCCCAGACCTTGGATACTATTGGATAGAGCATTACATGGGTGACGGAACAGCTCCAAGTCTGAGACCCTGGACGTTCTGACTTGGATGTAGTCGATGAATTGAGAGAAAATTCAACGAAATAAACGTTAACGAAGGGAGGAGGAGCGACCTTTCTTGTAAGGAAAGTATCGGGTCATTCGGACCTCAAGACTTACTTTTTGAACCGCTACCATACCATTATACCAGTCCACGCTGACTGGTCTAATTTTGGTTGCTAAAAAGCATGGAGCAATCACATCGCTCTATCACTCCGTTGACAACCAACGCTTATCGAGGATCAGAGTTAATTCTCTATCATTGTCGGGGACGTCCTGCGCAGGTGATACGCCTTTAGACACGACTATGTCGTGCGGCCGGACATTCCTCCGCCCCAGGGCGTCCGAACTATGTAGAACGTATCAGGTAGATTGGTGCCCGCGAGCCTCGAGTAGGCAGGGTAGCAAGGTATCACCGGTGCAGGAAGTCATGACAGGTGGTAGAAATAGAAACCAATCGTTGACGTAGACACACCTCTTGACGACACTGCTCTCTTAATGGCTGGTTAGAATTGCATGATCTCGCTATTTTGTGCATGACAATACTGGACATCATTTCGAGGACTTACATGGTGCATTTCACGAAAGGACAGCACCAGGGAATAAGATCGTCCTACGGGTCAGTTCCAACACAAGAAAGGCTGGAAACCACCGCCTTTTGAAATATTCTATACCGTGAAGTGCGCTGTGTTTCATCGTTCATGTTTTGTTTGTGTCGCCTATGACTTTTCCCACTCCCGCAAGCCCTTGTCTTGTCCGGTTCTGTGACCCGACCCGGGGCATCACAGATATGGGTAATCAGTTGTGCGTTCCTTTCTTTGGTCGTCAAACCGAGAGCACACGACTTCCTTCCTTTCTGTGAGCAAGTATTACAAAATAGCGAACAAAACGTATATTTGGCTCTCGCTCCGCTGAGACTCTCTTGACCTAGGCTGCCAACAATGGCACACCGGGTCCCCCAGCGCTCCTCGGTAAATATTGTCGGCATTTTTCAGAAGGTTGGGAGTGTCAGAACCAATGAAGCAAGCGTTTGGATCTTCTCATATGGCGAGATTGAACGATGTATCATCTAGTACAACGCTGGGAGCGGTTGCGCGTGTGCAATACAGCTGCACAATGTAGCACCGCATACGCCAGCAGAAGGTAGCCAATAGGGGAAAGGCGTCAAGCCAACCCCAGAAGTATATAAGCGACGGCAGACACACGTCACCTTCAAGCGTGTCGCACCGAGGACACGATATGCTCAGCGAGACAAGTCTGAGTACTAGCTCGTTGGCGGTGATTTTTTGCGTGTACACAGCGCGCTCGCGTTCAAAAGTACGTGCCCTATGAGCAAGCAGTTCGGTGAGGCCCAGACGCCTGCGCAAAACCTCAATCTTCTCCACTCGAAGTTCTCAACTCCTCAGAATGACGGCGTTGTTCCTACCTACCCCTCTGAATCCCTCCCGATTGGCCACACGCGCACGACCAATGGCTCATGTTTGATTCGTTCCCTCACTATCAGGAGATGTACGGGAGGAGCAACGAGATGCACGACATGGTTGCGGATCCCGTGTCGATATCCTGGATCGACACCAGTCGCTCTTACTACCAGGCGAGCTTCGCCTTCGGCCACAACTACTCCACGATGGCGGCCCACCACCCAGGACGGAGAGAAGCAACAGCCGGCGCAGGCGGCATCGGATACGGCACGACGAGGCCGCGGTCTCCGAACTCCCCCGTAGCCGCAACGGCAAGCGTGCGACGGGCAAGGGAGCCCCCCGCACTCCTCATCCGGCGCGTTCAGGGCCTCCTGCATGAGATGGCTTGCTTTTTTGCCCACTTTTCCGACCGCCAAATGAGGTAAAACTAGGGAAGGGATGTGATACGCTCGGTCGGGGAATCCCATGCGCTGCTAGTTGAACCCTCCATTTGTGGTGATTAGAGCTCCACCGTGACAACGTTCCTGACTGGAGCGAAGCTTCGACGAAACGCGATCAAAATGTTTTCTCTCACAGATTCACTTGAGTTCCGCACTGGCCTAGCCCGCCTGCTCAACCCAGCTCACAAGGCATGGTCTAACGTGTCTCCGCCGCACTCACCCCCCGTCCGACGTTTTCACGGCATCAGCCTGTCAGTCGTGGACATGAAGAAGGTAGAAGTGCAGCTAAGAGGAACATCCGCCCTTATGCTTGAGCTGCAGCAAGGCCTGGCCGAGACGTACAGCAGTATGCCGGCTGCCCAGCCGTGCGTGGCGCCCTCGGTCCTACCCCGCGATGTCGAGCAGCAGCAGCAGCAGCAGCACAAAGCATACGCGAGAACAGACATGACGGGGACACACGCGCGGCCTGCGTGGACGGTGGAACCAGGAGAGTTGTTCGCGGACGGCCAAGGAGTGGGAATGGGGTGTAGGGGGATGAATGACGAGCCGAGAACGCAGGTGGCAGAGGGGAACAGCGGATGGCAAGCCGGGACGGAGGTAGCGAGGGGTGTAGGCAGGTGTCGAGGTGCTGAGGTGCTGCAGCGCGGGGAGCTGTCACCGAGGGGAATGCCACCGGTGTATGAGGAAGGGTCTGCGATGGCAGCTCATCCTCCTTCTCGGAGTGCCAACGCTGCTGCTGCTGCTGCTGCTGCTGCTCCTGCACACCCCGGGTCTCACCTGCCGTTGGAAATTGAAATCTCAGAGCGTCTGAAGAACCAGGTGGGGACCGTAAGTTCCACGAAAGCGATTAGGGATGCGCGATTCTCGTGTCGGTGCCGATTATTCTCCAGATTTCTCAACGAGATGAAATTTGTTCTATGCATGCTTGATGACGCGAAGAGGTCAACCGCTTAAATCCCACGTTGAGAAGTGTGGATGATTTCAGCTTTGTCCTTTCCTGAGAAACCCGTTAGAACCTTACGGTTGAAATTACCAAATAGGTATCTCACAAACTTGCTTCGAGAAGTAAACCACACCAATATATATCAAGGCATTAGCTGTGTGGGCATCAATAAGGGATAAGATTCGACATGAAAATGACTCCGTCTGTCCTGCGTAAAGCAATTGTTCTGGTTTCTGTCTCGGCCGGTGTGCACATACCTCGTCAAGGCCTTCGGCGACATTGTACTCGGCAGATCACTTGCTTCTACAATCGCGACTGACAGCGGCCGATTGCAGAAGCAACACACCCAGCCTGTGATGCACTTCTTCTATTGTTCTCTGCTAACATAAAGAATATTGTGGCACGTTTCGTCCGCTTCAAGCACCATGGAAATAGCGATGCCATCAATAGGGAGAAGCAAGCGGGGTCTTGAATCGAGCAAGCCCTTGCGCACACCACATGCCTAACCGAACGGCCCGCTCTATCGCTGACGATGACGTTGACTGATGACGGCGTTGGGGGCAACGAACTGTTTTCTGGGGAAAAGGTCGAAGATGTCGCCACGCCGCCGGCTGTAGCAGGCCCCTTGGCGGCGAACGGTACGCTGTCCTCTACGGATAACGAGTCAGAGGTATGTCCGTGTGTGGTCGTTCACACTGATCTCAACGTGTCGGGGACGAGAAGACGTTTTGACGGCATGCGGAAAAATCGAGTTCATGCACAAGACGAAGATGGTGACACCCGAGGCAGCGGGCTACTAAGCAGAACAGCGGATTTAGCTGCAGTTTGGTGCATGTCACCGGAAATCTCGGAAGGGAGCAACTGGATTAGAGAGTGTACGAGTAGGGAGCGGCAGGCGAAGCGTCAGATACGAGCGTTTAGACACAAGGGACAGCATACGTCACACACATGGGGGGAAATCGGTACACAAGAGTGGATGTCGGGAGCATCCTTCACCACCCCCTCGCTCAACCTGGATCTGTATGTTCACTTTCCGCTTGTGCTCTCGTCGTCCTACCCCCTCACTATTTGATATTTGGAACTACGCTAACATGAACGGCGACGGTTTGTCGGTGGTGACATTCTCCCGGGCCATTGATTTCGCAGATGGTTAGCGGGGAAGAGGTTGCTGTCAAGAAGAAAAAGCGAAGGGGAAAGCGAGGTGTGCGGAAGGGAAAAAAGCAGGTACGAAACGAGTTGGTTCGTTTTCGACAACTCTCACACGCTGCTGTTCCACGAGCAGGTCCTCGAAACACACGTACAATTCCTGGCTCGTGGGCGCACGAAAAGCAGGTACCCATTATAACAACAACAACAACATCTCACAAAACGGGAGGACTTTTTTTCTTTGTGGAGATTCCAAACGCATGCGGGCTGGTACTGGTAAGGCGAACGTAATGCAGCCACGAGGACGGACTTGTCGCCGATTCGTCCGAGAGTAATTCGTCCGGCGTGTTGGTATTTGTCAATACTTCCTGCTTCGGGTTATTTCGTTGGTTCCGCGCAGATGGAAGGATTTGCCGGATTTCCACTTGCACCCGGTCTCGGTCCGGAATTCGCGGGACAGGTGAGAGAAGACAACCATTCGCACCTATTTTCAAGGGCAAATACACGTGTCGGTTGGAATAGTGGCATCTATTCGGCGTGTTTGCTAGTTGGTGTAGAGCACGTTGGTAGTTTGTTCTTGGAAGATGACTGACTGTTGGCTATGGTCACGAAAAATTCGCGTATTTTCACAGTGTTTTCTAGCCGCTGGTACTTCAACATCAGCTCTTTTGTGCGGAGGGTGTGGTACCAATTGATATCCTACTTCAAAACTGCATGGTGCACTACCCTCGACGCATCCCCGAGCTAGCACAAGGGGTGGAAAAAGTTCATGATAGTTACCAATACTAATCGCTGCGACATATATTCCTTGTATTCGCAAGCAAGTTGCATTTCAATTCCTCTTGGTCCAGAGTGGGACTGATTCATCTTTGTGTCTACTTACCATTGCAAAGCTCACGCACCTCGAGCTAGTTCGTAACCGTGGGGAGCTCCTCTAGTCCTCGGGGGAATGCTCATTGGAAGAGAAGTAGCAATTGGTACTAGAGTGCGACGACCGCCGCCCGAAAGTTATTTGTATTGGCGATTGGACGAGACATTGTTTGTTGGGGGTCCGGGTCTGACGTGACTTGACTCGGCAAGCTTGATTCCGGTCTCCCGCTCAACTTGTGGGCTTGCGATCTCCCAATCTCACCCGACGACCACACGACCAGCATCTTCACTCGGAATAGACCTCGAAACATGTCACCACTGAAACATTAAAGTGGTGATCAGCTGGCACGCTCCATCATTCGTGGTGGCACGGTCAACCCCCTCTTGGCGTATTTGCATACCATTGAAGCAAATACTCCCGCCAACCATTCCCGCCTCAACAACAGCTTTGTTCCTGGATACCATTGATGACCAACTCCTTCTCCTTCCTTTTCCCTCCCCTCGTCCCCATGCCATCTCACTCTACGACAGCCGCGCAGGCGGCTTCCTAAGGCGCCTTCGCTAGAGATCATGCGTGGCGAACACGATCTGTCGGAGTATTGTCTTCAAGACGAAAGCGGCAGCCAGACCGGCAGCGACGCGACGCCAAAGATCGCGCCCGATGGTGCTGGCCGCACGATCGACAACGGTCAGAAGGATCTTTTGTCGGCACCTGGGCACACGCGCAGCGCGGTCGTAGATGATGGCGGTGGCAATGGATACGCATCGGTTGCAGACAAGAGGGGCGTAAGCGCCCAACGCAACAATCAAGAAGACGGAGCCGACCGAAACAACGGATACGATGAAGATGACTGCGACGAGGACGATATCTTGGGGGACACCGAAGCGGAGGAGGTGTACACTGACCTTCATCCTGCTTCCGTGGATGTCGAGGAGCACAGGCAGATCGCAGCTTCGCGCCAACAGTCGGGAGATCCATCAGACTGGGGACACCTTGCCACCGCAGACGCCAATCGCCCATTCGGCGACAAGCCCGAGTCCCATCGCGGAGGCTACTATGCGCATCCGCAGTACTCGCCGCAAGACAGCGAGAACGACGCTCGCAAGAGCAACATCAGTTACGCCATCCCTGGAATCCAAGCAGTGGTGGTGGCGGTCGGGGAAAGAGGGAGCGGAGAGGGAGAAGGAGCCGCCTTGTGTCACTCCAACCGGCGACTTCCGACTCCTGGTAGCACCTCCAGCGGCAGGCTGAGAAACACGCCTCTAACCAACCCTCCAGAAACCCCTGCCACCGCTAAGTATGCCGGTGGCAGTTCAGTGTTCTTCCCGCAAACACGAGCTCGTTCAAGCGAAGGCGGCGGCAAAGGTTCAGGTTCAGAGGGCGTTATCGGTGAGGAGGCTGGCTGCGGCAGGACGGGGAGCTACACCAGTCCGACCACACCGATGACCGCACAGGTCTCTCCGACGGAGCACTTTGGTAGCCGCATCAGCGGCAGTGGCAGGGGATCGTCAGGAGTCAGCGACAACACTCTCACCCCAGCAACAAGCGCCTTGGCCTCGAGCCCGTCAACAAAGACCGAGCAACAACAGCAGCTCTCTGAAGGTGCCCACATCGATTCTACAAATGATGCGGTGGGAGATCGCGACGAGTCTTTGCTCCTCAGATCCGATGGAGCTGGGCCTTCGAACATCGACGTGCACGCCGCTTTCACTGACGATACCGGTAGCACTGCTGGGAACTTCCAACCATCACCGTGGCCGCAGCAGCAGCAGCAGCAGCAGCAGCAGCAGCAGCAGCAGCAGCAGCAGCGACAACCGCGACCGCATCACGTTCGTGTCCGCAGTGACGTATCCACGAGCGGCCTGTTAGGCGGAGTGCCCAAGAGGCGGTCACCCTCCGCCGCCGATGTTGGCAACGCCTATCCTTCAGCAGGTACCCCGCGGCACTGGGGATCATGGGCAGCATCCTGTCTCCCTCGCGAACCAAGTAGCGATACCCCCACCCCTGAAGGGTCAGGAGCGGGCGGGCCGGGGGAACGGGAGCCGCCAAGGGCGAGGAATGGTAACGGCCCGCGACACCGCCTGGAACGAAGCAGGCTGATTTCTCCGCCGCGGTACAGAGCCACCGTCGCCGACGTCCAGGAGGCGTTCGAGCGCGCGGACACGCGGGTTGCTAAGGGTCAAGAACAAGGCCTTTTCGGAGAGGGTTGCAGCAGCGACGGTGGCGGTCCGAAACGCGCGCAGCCCCAGGAGGGGGACGGTGCCAGAGACAGCAGCGGGGGCATCCAGTCGACGTCAAAGCTGGTTGTGCAAGACGCCAACCCGCCAGGAGGCGCGCCGCCGCCGTCAGACGTCGTGGACTCGTGCGGTGCGCGGGCCACCTGTCGAGGTTCCCGCGATGAAGTGAGAGCCACGCCGGTCGGTCTAGATAGTCGCTTGTTCTGATCGAATGCAGCTCGGCACTTTACAATGCTGTGGGGCGAATTCGGAAGCCACGCCGTGCTGACTTGCTGGGCCGGTCAAATTCAAAAGGGGGCCTGCCTAATAGCCAGGAATGTCATCGCAAGCGACCGGGCTTTGAGCAGGGCTATTTACGCGCCGGCGTGCGACTGTGTTTAGAAACGTTGCTGTGAAGTTCGTCTCTTTGCGCCCCCTGCCTGCTTGTTAATGTTCTAGTCGCTCTCGATATAGTCGTTGTTTTTGCCCTGTAATACATAGTTTCGAATTAACACGTCTACGCACCTTGAGACTAACGCGTGATTCTCTTATCCAGGACGACGAGTTTCAGAAGACTCTCCGGCAGCCATGGAATCGCGAGTCCGACAGCAGCGTGGAAGCCCCGGGGTTGCCGAGTTCAACCCCCAGGTACCGGTGCCCGTCGGGCTCCTCGACGGGAAGAACCACCAGTCCGCCTTTCACAGCGATGCAGGTGCTGCAGCGGCAGGCAGAACACCTGCTGAATCCCAATCAGGAACGCCCGCCGCTGCAGCGCAACCAGGGACAAGACCCGGACAGTTTTTGTGGAGCGATCGGGGCAGGAAGTGAGCCGCTGCCGGCGCCGGCCGGGAAGGCGGATGCGGTAGAAAGTGATGGTCAGGGTGAGACAACGTTGTTGTCGGTGTTTGTTGTGTCGTTTGTTTCTCTTTTTTGGCGCGGCCGTCGACGGTGTGTTGTTTGGTGTCGCTGTAGCTACCGCTACAGTGTTCTCAGTCACTGTGAAGTTGGGCATCGTTCTGGATGCATCTGCCTTTACCAGTATCCTGCTCTCACAGAAGAACAACGTTCGCCGGGTATGAGGGAAAGGGTTGGCTAGCACATATATTGGCATGAAACCGCGAGTACAATGGTAGCGATCCCGATGACTATGCATTCAACGTGTTGGCTTGATATCTATGCTCACCAACAGCCAAAAGGTCATTGTTGTGGTGGTGGTTGTCTTCACATTCGCCGTGATGTTACTACCCTTCTTTTCATTACCTCCGCACACTTATGCTGGAACTGGACAAAAACACTAGAACCCATGATGGCAAGCCAACCAAAAGCAATTCACCAACATTGAGCTAATCTTGGGCGGCTTTTCCACACGATGATGGCAGCAAGTGGATTCCTCACTTGGCTGTTGAAAAGACCAGGAAGTTTCATCACACATTACTCGCTTGCTGTTGAACAAGCCAGGAATTTTCATCACACATCACCGTGCAGGGGACCCGAACTCCCCGTAAGGGGCACGATTGCACACATGACGCCTCTACGAGACGGTTGGGTAGTATTCCCGCGGCTTTCTCCGAAGGCAGGGAAAGCGTCGATACCCTCGCCCAGAGCGCTTTGGGCGTGAATACCCACATCGCCCTTCGAGCGGCCCGCCGAACTTTTCGCGGCCATCTGATTTTAGGAGGTTTTTGTTAAGCTAGGTTGGCCAGAGCCATACGTGCTCTGTACCGGCTCTGTGGCGGTGCGAGGGTCATATGGCTCGAGATGTACACGGTTACGCACGAGAACGAGTACAACTTTCTCCCAAACACCGAAGGGGGGTAGGATTTGCAAAAACTGGCGCCCGGAAAAGAAACGACATTTTCGGGTCGAGGCCCAAGTCCATTTCACGCCAACTCTGTTGAGACATACTCTAGGTTGTTCAAAACAAAGCTTAGTAAAGGATCATCCACCGCTCAGCTGCGTTTCATAAGCGTTTCGTCCTATTTTGTTCGCGACAATTTAAGCCTTTATCTCGCTACAGAAGTTTCTTCACTGCAGGTCCCTGCTGAAACTGCTGCCTAACGTCGCAGCGTGAACACGTTGGTACACATCGGTCTCGACTCGTGTCTGCTCGAAGAGAGCATTACCGGAGCCCAACTTCAAAAGCGTGTGCGTTCTTGGTGGATCTACGTAGGCACGCAACCCACGAGCACACTGCCCGGCCAAGGACCACATCTCTGTCGACACGCGTCGTCCTGACGCCCGCAATCACTCTTTCCCATTTAAATTTGTGATCCCTATCGTCAGCGGGTGTGCGTTGTCGCCTTGACGGGCGAAGCGATCAGGGAGCTTTCGTTGACGAGGCTGTGGGAGTCGTGATTCGCGCACCTGATCTGTGATCGGTCAGGGGAGGACCGCGCGGGAGGAAATGAACACCAGCTGGGAAGAATGTGATTGGGGGATTGCTGGAGAGAAGATTTTCTGGTGGAGCACCGGCGTAGAAGGCAAGGAAGGGGCGTTGATCCAAGGAGGGCAGGATGGCAAGTCCCGTGAGCTGAACTCAATTCTAACGTTCACAGCTCAGAATCCAATCAGCTTTTTCGTTGTAAATGTTCCGGTAGGGAACTGACGGTGCGTCCTACGCACCGGTAAGCTTGGGGCGGGGGGCTCTTCCTCTTGTGTACGTCAGGTCGTCCTCTATGCTGTTGATCGACCAGGAGGAGGGTAACTAACAGTCGCGCCAGCAATAGTAGATGTATTGCACGAGTGGCGTCAGTTTCCCGCAGATTCAGGCGGGTTTCAGATCTAAGTTTTGTTGAAGGCTTGCTTGAGTGTTCAAGCACAAGCGTGTCATGTGTGATACCTCTGCCGATGGGTGTCTGTTTTTCTTGCCTGCCTACTTGGTGGTGAAAAAAATCACGTGTGCGTTGTTTGTGGTACCCTATTACCGTGGTATTGGCAGCTGGTTTGTTTTGAATGAGCGCGGGAAACTGTGCCGAAAAGGGAAACAAGGGAAAGGAAATCATCGAGGTGTGGCGTGGAGCATCATCATCATATTGTGGTCTTTCTGGTAGATGTGAGCAAGAGCTCCAATGTTTGCGCAGACAAGAGATAATGGTGCAACCACTTCGGGTGTAGGTTGCGGGTGAGCTCAAAGACCGGGGCACGATGTTGGTGGATGAAGGCTCGGGAAACAGAACTAAGCGTGTACACTGGGCACGCCACAAGGGCACTCGAAGATTCCTTGAACTCAATCTTCACCTCTTTTTCACCTGGTTTGCTGATAATTGTTCATGGTAAGCGTTCAAGCAGAGAAGTTGAGAAGAAACCGTGCAACTGCGGGGGGTTCTACAGCGAAGACGATGACCATGCGCCATGTCTGTGTGTATGCCTGTCTTTTTGGTATGTTGTGGCAATTGCTGTTGCTGTTGTTGATGTGTTGGTCTGTAGTTAGAGGTGTGGTGAGTGGTCTTGAGCACCTGGCATGGGAGGCGGGGGCGGGAAGGGGGGCAGGAGCGCAGGGGCGGGGTTCATGGGATTGATCTTTAGCCAGAGTACTGACCGGGTGTGCGGAAGCAGACGATGAACTCTTACCGCTGTAGACCCCCCCGAGAACCCGCACTCGCACGGCCTACGGTAGGTAGTAGTTAACGCGATGCATTTGTTGGAGGCGAACCGAATTTGCGCGTTTGGTGCGGGTGGGTAGGGGGGGGGGGGGGGGCAGATACCAAGGCAGATAGGTAGTGGAGATACTGGGGATGGGGAGAAACGACGAAGGCAGAGAGGGAGAGAGAGACAAGAAAGAGCAAGGCCACGGGGCAGAGGCATGNGGGGGGGGGGGGGGGGGGGGGGGGGGGGGGGGGGGGGGAGGGGGCAGATACCAAGGCAGATAGGTAGTGGAGATACTGGGGATGGGGAGAAACGACGAAGGCAGAGAGGGAGAGAGAGACAAGAAAGAGCAAGGCCACGGGGCAGAGGCATGGCGAGAGAGAACAAAGTCAAGGTCAGGTTCGGTAGATCATGGGGGGGAAATAGTAGGAAGAGAAGAACAGAGCAGCAATACAACCTCTTTCGGCTACTTCGTTTCAACTACCGTCACTTTACCCTGCTGCTAGTGGATGAATTAGATTGATGGGGATCACCGGCCACAAAACTTGCTACATATGCGCAAGGGACGAGTGTAGGGTTTGGCTCCTGTTCTTGTATTCGAATAATCGAACGCTCAAGTTTGCGGTAAGTATCCTCTGACATGCCCCACTCATGAACTATTCCTTCCTCCCTAAAACGGTCGCGGGGTAGTCTAGACAGCTTTGAAGAATCGCTGTTTCCCGAGGACGAACGCACAATAAAACGCCACCCTATGCTACGGAATTTGAGCTTTCTTTCACGGCAACGAGGGAAGAACGAGGGGGATCCCCTCGTTGCCTCTCACGCTGAATTGATTGGCTGCGAGAACGCCACCACGAGAAAGGTACGCAACGCCAGTGACACTTTCGCGCTCGGGTTCTTCTTCCTCGGCGACAAGGCCATCCCAATCCCGACCCGTGCCCTGGAGGAAAGTGTATGGGGAACGAAAGCTGCACCAATACGTATTGCGATGAAATTAAATGGATTGATTTGTCTACAATCCGACAGGTACAACTTGTCATTAAACGGGATTTAGTCCCTTCCTTGAATATCAATCACGTGCTATGTGGAATACTAAACTCTCTTCTTGTCTACCACAGGTGCAGGTTGTTTTTGCTTCCGATTGTTCTCCTTCTCTTGATTAACGCTTTCCCAAGCCAACTCACACAGATTCTAAGCACACCGATCGTATGAACACTGAAAGAAGGCCACGTGCCTCGGCGTGAAGCCCTACAGTCTTACATGAGATCCCGCCAATGTATCTGACGACACCAAAAATCCATGGTCAACCATGATCGATTACATGGGTGTGGGAAGCGTTCCCCGTTCTCCTTTTATTTTATTTTGATCGGTCTCCTCGACGCTCTTTCTCGTTTGGTGCGGTAGCTGGTCTTTCTTTCTATCATTTTGTTTCTCTTCCGAGTGGTTTTTGTACCCTATTTTTTTCTGTTTCTTCGTGGGGTCGTGTATGCCGGGTTTTGAGACCACGGGCTCCCAATCTTTCTTTTTTAGAGCTAATGTGAGAAACAACAACAACAACAATATGTATGTCTACCTCATAAAACCATGACGAAGTGATACGGGCGCCTTCCGTCCAAGGGTCATGCCAACTACCCAACAAACAGGGCACACACATGTAAATACAACTACAAAAAAATTCTACGGGTAGTCTAGACTAAACCAGTTGCCCGAAGAAAACATGTACCTATTCTATGTGTTCCAGTTATTACATACCATGGTAGTAAATGCAATTAATTAATTCCCGACAGCCCACCCACCTCCTTTCGATCCGTGCAAAATACTACTGCTGTAGACTATGATGGACTAGTTATTTGTGGGCGCGCAATAGAACAAGAAGGACACATGAAGAGGGGCTCGAAGCGGTCGAATGCTTCCCCAGGGTCGTCGAGATAACGCGAAGCCAGGTACACACAGGACGACGGGACTTCTTCTCCAGTCTTTTGACGAAACGATCGAAAAAAACGTAACAACGGACCTCAACAATGAATGAATACAGTGCAATCGTTGGATGCTGTGGATGGGAAAGTTATGGCTCATTTGACCTGTCACCACAAGCAAGCTGCTCATCATCTGCTCATTTTTTCTCATTATTGCTGCTACTACTGCACTGAGTAGCAAGAGCCACCATGTATGTCCGCAGTAGTAGTCTATCCATGCGTTGCTTGACGCATAGTCTAGTCTAGATATAGACTACTGATATCCAGCCCAAACGCACGCGGGCTGCTGCTGTAGTCGACTACAAAGATGACCGGAGGCTTGGACTTCTTAGCTTGCCCAAAGAAACAAGAGAGATGAGCGGCAACAGGCAGCGTTTAGCACACTGCCTTCCTTCTGTACATCAAACATCTGCTATAACCTACTATATAATAGTCTGTACATAGTCTATTCTACTGCTGTCGATGGGAACAAAAAAAGCTGAACAAAAATGAGCCATCTCCTTCCGGTTGTACCTTGGCTTGGTTGGGTGTCCTTCTTCATCATACAATTTGTATTTCCACGGACTCATTTTGACAGCACTTCAGACAGCAGCTGCATGCCCCGAGCTTGTGTACCATGCACCATGGCGTTATTATTACTGTACAGACAGCACTTCGGGTAGCAGTACGCTGTAGTAGTAGTCGACAAACATTCATTTTGGCTAAATAAATGCGGGACAAGGGAGGAGGTGATGCTGCTACTACTGTAGTCGAATTGTAGTGTGTGGGCTTGTGGTTCAGTTGTGAGCACGCAAACGTGCTGCAGGGATTGCAGGTGTACCTCCTCGGGCTTGTGTACCCTTTTCTTGCTAATAGACAAGACTATGTGTTCATTAGATAGA